ATCAGCTAATGTTAAAAGGCGAGTAGTCAACAACACATAGTTTTGAGAAAACTAAAACTTTGCATTATCTATATTTTTATTTAAAAAGATGTAATTTTTTGTGTTTAAATTCTTTATTACCCCAGTTATCAAGAAACAAAGCAAGTTATCATGAAACAAGCAACTTTAATATTTTTTTTTCATATGAAAAAAAATTATTAAAGTTGCTTGACTTATCCCCTATTAGCGTAATTTGAAAAAAAGGCAGATAAATGTGTTTAAAAAATAATGTTCTTTACCAAAAACACGAAAAAATCAGTATTTACATACACTCCTATATATAGAGAACTAATTTTAGAAATATATACTGTCTTCAAAGAAATCTCTACAGCCTAAGATAAGCAATAGGAACAACTTAGTCATCATTTTCAACTTCAACAACTTCAGTTGTTGGCCACACATAAACTTCAGCATAAAAGTCTTCAAACTCCACTGGAATGTAGGGTTGCCATTTTTTTATTATGCTATTTTTTCAATCTTTATTGGAAATTTTCCTGCAGGGTAAGCTTCTTTACTTGGAAAACATAAGTTTGGACAACCTACTGCTCTAAAGAAAAAGCTATGGTTCATTATAGAATCAATAAAAGGTTGGCCAATAACTTTAGATTGAAATTTAATATCATATGTGCAGTGCATGAACTTGCATATTGAAAATATTGCTTTTTTTTCATTTTTAACTTACCTTTCAACTTACCTTTGGTTTCATCGAAAACACAACTCTTTTTGTAAAATTACGGCCACCTCATCTTGAAGTCTAAAATTTATGAAGACAACTTTTTGTACCGCAAATTTATCATTTTTGGAGGATGTCTTGATAAGGTCACATACTCACATACTTACTGTTATGAACACAAAAAACTGAAAGTTACCTCAGATAAAAGGTTTCTTGCACTGGTATTATTGGAATTTGTATATTCTGCATAAAGTTAAAACACAATGATAAAACTTGACTATTGTCCTTGTCAATTATGTCTTTTTGGATTCGATAATAAAACTTTTTCAATTTGGAATTATGTACATCAAGTTCAGATTGAGCAAATCTATTTGCTGCCTCATTGAGACGAGGACTTCTTAATTTTTAATTTGGTTCTTCACAAGTGCAGCATTTGTCAACTTGCGCCCTTTTAAAGGAAAGACTATAGTTTATATTAAAGTAGTTGAAAAACTTTAACTTTTATTAAAAAGTATTTTTCTTAAAAAGCCATTTAAAATGGCATCTAGATAGCATATAGGTTTTCCAAGATAATGTCTTTCCTTAGTTGGAAAGCTTTCAATGTGCTGTCTAATAAAACGTTTGGTTTCTACCTGCGGGGTAAACCAGTGTACCTGCGGGGTAAATTAGTGCACTTTTGAGGTACAGTATTTTCTTGTAGTTGACAAGTTCTTCACCTTTTATTCAGGCAACTTTTATAATGTTTCTCTCAAAAAGGCTTGAATCAGCATTCCTTTTTTTTGCCGACATAATCTTAAGTAACTTGTCACTTTCTTCTGAATTTATTTCCATGTTTCACTAACTTATGATAAAAAAATTTATTTCTATGTTTAACTTATTTATGAGGCTGTTTTTATGAATAAAAAACATCCCACCTAACCGGGGTACCCCGGTTAGGCAGAATGCATTTCATCTGTGTTCATATGGAAAAAACATCTTGCTATAGCGGGACGTTTTTAAGATCATGTGACATTTGTTTATATATGATCATTCGCGCAAATTATCAAATTAAAAATGGAAGTTAAAAAAGAAAATAGCTTTCATTGCTACTGCTAATGTAATAGAAATAGCATCAATCAAATTTTCTACCATTTCAGTATTCCATTTGAAAATTTGTTTTTAACTTGTTTTTTTGCAACAGTCGCGATTTTTTGTTCGATATATTTGAAACAAGAAGCACTTATAAGATTATTAACTATTTTTGTTTCTATGCGTGGTTGAACGATTTAAACTTAAAATTTTTTAAATGGTCTTAACTAAACTGTCCAGTCGAGCCGGGGTGATTTTCAACTTGCGTTCGTATGAAGAATTTTCAACCCGCCTGACCGGGATCCCGGTAGTCCATAGGCGAGATCCCGCCTAGGCGGGCTGAAAGAATTTATATTTGAACGCGATGTTAAAATTATAAGAGTTTATAAAGATAGGCGGGATCCCGGTTATTTTTCTGTTCCGGTTAGGCGGGATGATTTTATCCCTATGAACAGCCCCTATGATAAGAGTAAAAACGCAAAACATAAATTTTCTTTTTAAAGAAGTTTCTTATTTAGGTTAAGCTATACAGTAAAATACAATAGCATAAGACGAAGAATACAAGATATAAAGCTAAACATAAAAAAGGGGTATATTGAAATAAAAGAGAAGGGGTGAGGGGAATTTTTTTTCTAACTATAATTATGTAGGTCAGTTCGTGAAAACTTTCGGTCTGACGTGGTGTTACAATAAAAGTATTTTTTATAAGTTTTAATTTATAAATTCAAACTACTATTTTTTACAAAGCATGCATAAATCTATTTAGTTCTAGTGTGGCTTGCAGTCAAATGCGTACTTTTTAACAGCTATTTTATCATAATTTCAATAGGATTCAATATGGTGAAACAAGTACATAATATATACGATGATAAACGGCATAAGAGGAGTTTTCATACTAAAAGTGGATAAGTGATTGATTTACCAACCAAGCGACTGACATGTCTAATTTTATCATAAATAGTTGAAACCTGTTCTTAATACATCAAAACCATTATTACCTCATTTTTTAATTTTCGTGACCAATCCCCTTTTAGCGTGACCCGATTCAATTACTCATACAGTTTTTGTTTTTTAATTTTTTTTCAGAATTTGTAATCAGAAAAGCTGGAAAATGGTCAACGATATCTGTTTTAATAATACCACTTTGCATTTTAGCCCTTATATAATTAATAGTAATAATATTATCGATAATGGATGTAATTGTTTTTTTTTTTCACGCGTTTTAGCTAATTAATCACGGGGAAAACGCTGTATTGCAAAAGTACTTTTATAAATGCTTACATGTTTTAATATTTAAAAAATTCAAATTAAAATTACCCAACAAGCAAACGTGTTTTTTTACGAGCTTTGATAGCAAGTAGTTTAAGTGGTTTTCAAATTAATTGTAATTACGATTTAGAGGTTTATATAATGCTAGGCACTTCAACATTTTTTTTTTTTTAATGTAAAATGAAAAGAAAACAAACACCATAAGTTAGAGCTAAACATAAACAGTTAAAAAATAACAAACTTATATTATTATTAGTCAAATTATTCGTTATATTTTTATTAGCCAAAAACTTATTCAACTTTTAAAACACAAAATTCAAGATTTTTTTTTGTATGACTTTTGAGGTTTTTAGCGATTTAACGTTTTTAAGAATCATCGCATCAGCTTTTCCGTTCTTTTTCAAAAGTAACAATAACAAGACCGTTATTATTCAAAATTATGAATATAATCAGTGGCGTAACTAGGGGGAGCATAACCCTGCAAGGCGGAGGGGGGAGGGTAGGGGGGCCGAAACTCAGAAGGCCCCGCGGAGATTTACAAATTTAAATATTATTAAGATATACAAAAATAAATATTTTTTATAGACTTAATCGTGTTATATTAACTTAATATAAAAAGCAAATTTTGGATATTTTATTCTAAAATATATTTTGAAAAAATTTAAAGTGGGAGAAAAAATTTACTTTTTACTTTTTTGGCCGGGGGGCCCCAAATTTATAGTTACGCCACTGAATATAATACCAATAAAAACTATAGTATATGGAATTTTAATGACTAGGAAACAACCCACTTTTGACATGATAAATATGTGACAGTACTTTTTTAAAATATTTTATTTAATGGTAATGCAAAAAGGGTTTTCCAAAACAATAAACTAATTTTAAAAACTAAACCTCCGTCTTGAAAATTGTCGAGTTAAGTCTTGAAAATCAACTATTGTTAAAATTTTTTTTTAAAAGGTAACTTTTTGGTGCGAGGCATATTTTTTGTGTGATCAACGCTTACTTTTAAAAAATATGCACATTATTAGAGTTGTATAATGCTTTAATTGATTTTGTTATTAAATTAAAAAAACACTAATTACTTTCAAAAACATTTGGGTCATAAAATGATCTTAATTTTTGAATCAAATTATCTCTAAAAATTAAAAATTAAAAAAAATATTTTTGGTACTGTTATTAAGCTGTGGTACTCCTTTTTACAATAAACAAATAAAAAGTTATTGTATTTTATGTCATCGGTTGAACGATGGAAGAATATACACATCAAACTATTTTGTCGGCATAAAACCTCAGATCTTTTTTCTTTAGCCCTGTTTTATTGATTATCGATATTACGCGCTCAGATGTTGAAGTGCCGTTATAAAATGGTAATTTGATTTAATTTTATTAATTGTTTCAATAGTAAATGACTCACAATTAACGTCATTTACTCTGACACGATACTAATTATCTATTGACTGACACGATACTAATTATCTATTGTCTAGATTTAAAAATTATTGCGCTCTGCAGCCGTATTCTTATCACTCCGTTAAGCTTAACGGAGCTTTTGCCTGAAATTTCATTACAATATATCTAAGTAAAGAAATGACGAAAACCTTATTTAAATTTTTTAAGATAAAACTAATACTAAAATAAAACATTTATTTTAAAAAATTTATATTTTTAAAGAACTTTTTTATTAATATAGTTAAAAAGAAATATTTTACTAACGCTCCGTTAAGCTTAACGGAGAGATGAGAATACGGCCCCTGAGCAGCTTATGACTGCATTATTCATTATGGCTGCATAGAACGTATTGCGCCCAAGTATCAATTGCAATTGTTTTTGTAAGTCTTCATAATAGTAGGAAATATATGATTTGTTATTTTTTAGTAAATAATAATAAAAAAACTGTTGCGCTCCGTAGACATTTCGGCAATGTATATTAATTGATATTACTTTTTAGATACTTGAAATATTTGAATGGAAGAAATTAAGGAGCAAGACGTTGATAGTATACTGATTTCGATTGGAGAATTCGGCAGATGTCAAAAATTGTTATTAGTTGTTATAAGTTTTCTAATGATACCAACAGCATCACAAGTACTTATCATGACTTTTCTAGAAATAAACCCATCTTGGAGATGTAGTGGTAATGGAAGCTTTGAATGCAATAGAACAGGAGAGTTTTCAATATCACATGAGTTTTATCATAATAGGTGCAAAATGAAAAGAAATTCTTGGAGTTTTGTAAAAGAAAAGGGATTTTCGATTATAACTGAGGTATTTTGAAAAGTTTTTCTGTTTTAATTTCAATCAATTTTTTGAGTGTTTTGTTTTAGCCTCAATTAGCGTTTGATAAAGTTGAAGGAGGTGCTGAGCAATTTCCGTATTAATAAATGAGAGTGGTTGTCAAGTAATATGGTATATTAGAGATTTTGGCTCAAGTAAAGCGGTGTATAAGTTAAAGTGATATAATATTGAGCAGCCGCGGCGCAGTGGTAGCGCACTTGCCTCAGTAACTAAGAATCCGTGGTTCAAACCCCAGCTCTGGGCAAGTCATGCGACATCAGTTAGGATCGAGGCGTGAACTTCCAAGTAAATGTTCATCTTTGGTGCTCTGTGATAAGACTATAAAGACTTCTTGAGGTACCTAAATAAAATTAAAAAATAAAAATAAAGTTGTGTATGTGAGGTTGTGTATGAATAATAGCGTGTGTATTTTTGACATCGTCATATTATATAAAACTACATAAAAGCCTCTCATTAAACCCAGTAAACACAGGACGTTTTTAAAACGTTTAAAAAACTTAAAAAAAACGAATATTAACGTTTTTTAAACGTTTAAAAACGATCTGTGCTTACTGGGAGGTGGTGTATACATAAATTAAAAATTTCTTATCTATTTATTATTTTAGAGAAAAACTTAAAGCAAAATCATTAAATTTTTTAACTTAAAGCAAACGCAAAGTTATAAAATATTTTTAAAGATATTTTTAAAGTGTTGATATTTTTAATATAATTGAATTAAAGAACATCCGATTGTTTTATTGCTGCAAAATAACACAAAAAATGCTTTTTAAGTAACTTCACTGCATTTAAATAAATGAGCGAGTTAATATGAAATTAATTTAATCAGTGTAAGTTATTTCCTTCAAAGTTCTGAAAAAAGGAAAAAGATCTAGCAAAATTAATACTAAAATACACAATGTTGTACAACCGTTTCAAATTTTACACACAAAAAAAAACACACTTACAAACTTTAATTTTTAATCTGAATAACTTGTGTTTTTTTAAATTTAAACTAAAATTAAGCAAAAACGTGAATCTCCAGCCTCCATTTTTTTTATTAGATAATTCACGTGAAAGTCTAATTATAAAAAACCTAATAACAAAAAAATGAAAATAGGATTGAAAAAGTAAAGCACGTTGGAAAATCAATAATTTTTCTTAACAGCAATGCCGTTTTTTTACATATTGAAACTAAAAGCTATTTCTCTCAAAGTAAACTTGTTAAAATCCAACATAAAGTAGGTTTTGTTATTACCTTTTATGTGATAAGAGACCGTTCATAAATGATGTCATTAGTTTTTCCTGGTTTTTGAAACCCCTTCCCCTCTTTATAAATCTGTCAATTTTTTGCAGAATCCCCTTAAAAATGATGTTACTCAAAAATGCGTATATACTATCAGGTTTAATTATACATTTAATTTTAACATTTCTGATATTTTTATTTTTTATTTGTTAGCTATTTAGGTGTTTCACGAAGTCGTAACGGTCTTATCACAGAGCACCGCGGAATAGCATTTAAACAAAGAAGTTCACATCTCTTTCCTTATTGTTGATGCATATATGGCCTGAGCCGGCTTTGAACTACGGAATTCCAGTTCTGAAGCCATTGAATTGATGTAAAAAAACATGACATAATTAGTTCTTTCAGATTTTGAAGGAACAACCAAGGTTGTTTCTAAATTTAAATTGTATTTCCGATATTAGTGGACCATTTATGAACATAAAGTTATCAAAATTAGGATTAAAAATAGCCTCATCAAATATTATACTAAGGAAATATTATGCAGGTGCTTTATAGCATTTAAAAGTTGTATTATTGAACATGATGTTAAACTCAGTACTGAGAAGTACCAATGATGAAAAGCAATTTTTAGGCTTGTTTTTTTAGGCCAATAACCTTTGCATTTCTCTATCTTTTACTCCTAATCTCTTACCTTCACTCCTTAATTTGTGCCTTGTCTCTGAGCCTAGCTTGTTTTCAGTTTCTCTTTGTTTTTCTTGAGGTTGTTTTGATCATGAAACGACTCTTTTATTTTATCTCAGAAGTTAGGCTCTAGAAACTTTTGGAAAATATTCAAAAACGTCATGAAACCCATGGACTTGAATAAGACGTTTTTTATGCCTACTGTAAAATTTAATCTTTAGTTACAATTTTTAAAAACTTGGAGAATACTCTGACCTCTCCAACTATTGACCAATTAGTTTTCTATCCTTTGTTACCAAGGTCTTTGAGCCTTTAATCAAAAAAAATCCCATTTTGAATTAAAGAACTTACTGTCAGACAATCAATGTAGTTTTCTTGCTCTACGGCTGGCTAAATAGAGGTTGCGAGGCAAGGGTATTTGCTTTTGACATATCTAAAGCTATCGGCATGCTGGTCTTCTCAATAAGCTTGCTTCATACGGCTTTTTGGTTCTCGCCAGTCAAAAATCAAGAGGCCGTTTGTCCATTTTTTGTGTTTCTGAGAAAATGAAGTTTTACAATTTAATTTGTAAAGAATTTTTTCCAGAATATCTGACTAATTTTTTAAACATTTTTGAAAGTTGTATCATTCTTAAGACTAGGTTCTCGGCTGACGGTATAATGTATCTGGAAAGTTTTTGAGACTATCAAATCATTTCTTTCTTATTGCTTATTCAAAGTCATTCTTGAAGACAAATACTCTTCTTGATTTCTAGTAACTTCTGGAATACCTCAAGGTTCTATCCTTGGTCCTGGTTTGTTTCTTTACTATCTACATTAATGATCTTTCTGACAACCTTATATCTAAAGTGGCTCTAGATGCTGATGACTCAACTTTATACTTCTGTTATAACAAAAAGTATTCTCTTTTCGATCGCTTAAATGATAGCTTAAATGCAAATTAAAATTAATGCAGCAATTTTAAAAACTAATTCAATCATGAGTTTAATTCGTCGATAAAATGGTTAATAAATAATATATAACATTTTTGCGTCCACATCTTAAGCATGCTATTCAACTTTGGTGTCCCTAATTGAAACAGAACACAGATAAAAATACTACATCATTTTACTCTAAATCATTTTTTTTGATTTAAAAAGCATAGCCCCGCTTTGAAAATCTCCGTTTTCCATTAGAGATAATAATAAACATTTTTTTCAAATTTTTGAGTGATCAACCAATCCTGATTACAATTCAATTGTAATCAGGATTTGTACACCATAACTCATTCTAAAACCTATCCAAAAACCCACCCTAATACCCAAGAATAAAAACCCACCAAAAACCAAATTTAATGGGTTCTCGGTCTCAAGTTTTATTTATTTATAATTTTTTCATTCATAATTAATTTTCATTAATGCTCAAGATTTGATGCTGCTCAAAAAATGTTCTAATTATAATAAAATAAGGAGTTTGGTGAGTCATAAATTAGAATTTTATTTTACTTAAAGCAGTAATATTCAAACTTAAAAATTTTAAAAAAAGTCATTTAACAATTTAGTCATTAACAATTATGCATCTTGATTCTAAATGCCTGTAAATTTGTATAAGCAAATCAGCTTTTTCTTTTACAAAAAGATTCCTAATATTGCTGCAAATATTGCTGCAAATATTGCTGCAAATATTGCTGCAAATATTGCTGCAAATATTGCTGCAAATATTGCTGCAAATATTGCTGCAAATATTGCTGCAAATATTGCTGCAAATATTGCTGCAAATATTGCTGCAAATATTGCTGCAAATATTGCTGCAAATATTGCTGCAAATATTGCAAAGGGATCAGAAAAATCCTTTAATGGATCCAGTACTGGCTAAACAAGTATGGAAATACCGTAAAAATCTTGAAAAATTTGCAAAAAAATAACTTTCCACCAATTTGTTGCTGATATACGCAAGTTTCACCGCAAACGGACGTGTTTCAAGAGCTTATTAAAAAGCTTAAAATAATGGCAAAAAATTTACACTAGCACAACTTAAAGAAATCCTTGAAAATCATGAAAAAACTAATATGAAATTTTTTAATGATTGGATTGAAAAAATGGATATTAAATTTAATAACTTAAAATATGAAAACTTTACGTTAAAACAAGAATGATCTGAGGTACTAAAGGCTGTCGAATTTATAAGTAAAAGCTATAATAAAATAATAATTGAACTTACAGTAATAAACAAAACAGAGTCAAAAAATCACCAGATGGAAGTAATATTGAAAATGTAAACAATAAAATAAAATAGAAAATAGCAGAACTAGAAGACAGAAGCCGTAGAAACAACTTGAGATTTGTTGGGATTGAAGATGAAGCTAATAAAACTTGAGAAGAAAGTGAGCAAAAAATCAAAGCCTAATATACAAGAAAAAAATTAGAAAAGTAGAGCCCATTTAGTTAGAAAAGAAACAGGAAAAAACAGATCAATAAATATTTGATTTCAAAACTACAAAGCCCTAGTGTTAACCAAATACACGACGATGATGCTTTGAAACGAGTTGTTGTACGTTAATGAAGACTTTCGCGATTTTACAATGGACTTACGAAGAAAGCTTTTTAAAGAAGCGAAAGAATTGAGAGCGAAAGATAAGCATACTAAAGTAACTTACAATAAATTAATTACGCGTGACCTATAATTTTAAGGAAATTCTTTTAATAATCTATAATTAAATTTAAAAAACAAAAAATGATGACTAAGAAATATTTTAATTTTCACGATAAATATTTGAAATCAGGTCTTAATTCAGATTATTGCGTTAATATCAACACACCCAATCATCTCATCTTAGAAAACCAGTAGAATTAGCAGTAGATAAGCATAAAATATTGAGGATGTAACAAATTTTTGAAGATCTCGTTTCGTTCTGACGTAATTACAAAATATTGAATAATAAAAAATTATTACGAGGATAGTAAATTTTTTTAGCAGTAAAACAATCAAAGAATATTAACTATACAACCAAAAAGTTAAAATAAATAACACCGTCAAACTTATATGAACATTCTTAACAAAAAAAATCTCAAAAAAATCATTAATCTACC